GTGTTTAAATTTAAGGAATAACAGCGAAAGCAATTACAGAGTAAGTCATGATAAGCAAAAGTTTCCTCTCCATAGTACCTAAGAGTATCTAAATCAATCACATCTGGAATTCAAGCGTACAAGAAAAACCCCCAATTCAAGATGAACTAAAATTGACATATATTCCAATAACAGTAGTACATGCCATTGATTGCACAAAACCATGCATAACACAACTAAATACATACAGTTACAAGGAACCAGAAAAAGCAATTGAAATAGACATTCAATGTTCGAAAGAAAATAATAATAAACATGAAATAAGATTCTAAACACAAAATCAAATGTAAATCACTGATCCTTGTAGCAATAATTTCAGCCCCAGAAAGTATAAAAAAATAAGTGTAAGCATTGTAGCATAGTTGTTTTATAACTAAAATATAGATTTCTCGAGAATACGAAAACCCAAGGTAGCCATTGGTTTGAAGGAAGTTTCCTGTCACGTACTGACCAAATTATTACCTAAGAGTCCCTCTTGAGTCTTGGATCTCTTGATCCCCATAGCAGCAAGTGGAAGAAAAAAGAATCACAATTTGTGACAACAGGCGTGCTATGTTATGAAAGGAATGTGATTATAGAAAAATCTTTCCACAACAATAGTTACACTTGTTTAAGCCTCCGATTTACTTCAAATAATATTCCAAGACAGGGTGCTGAAAATGTCTTATGACCATCTAACTATCACCGGAAAACCAAAATTATCATACTGCAATCACAGTCAATCAAAATTTTCCATAGCCCCATTTGGTTCAAACTTGTTGTATTGAAATTTGATTGTAACTTACATATGGATAATTGAATAACTCTGCTCGTAGCTTTAATTCTATATTTATAAATTTGTATTCCTAATTGTCAAAAAGGAAAATAAATTTGAAAGGTGTATGAACTTTTTCGTTCACATCATTATCTATTTGTATGTTATTCCTATTACTATCTGATAATAGAATTGAAATTTAAATCAAATGCAGTCCCTCAGTTTAAGCAAACTGGAATATGCTAATTCCCATCCATAGAGAAGAGTCTTTTTTCCGTAAGGAAAGAGTTCAACAGTCAATTAGCACCAAAAACGCACCAAAACGTGAAAGAAAAGACTCTACCAGAATTAAGAGCATAAGTAATCACTTCCCTTTATGCCAATCCAGATATCGTAAAAGAAACATGAAGAGAGTACTAACGACGGCATCAACGCTCTATAAATCCACAAACATCCGAGCTTTGATTTCGATAGAACGAAAACTGAAACGTAAAATACCACCTAATTCGCCTCCTATGATTCGAATTTCTCCCATTCTCCTCTCACTTTTCGCTCGTTCTCCCCAGAACCAAACAAAAGGGATGAGTGAATTTCGATAGTAAAAACCAGATTTCTGAAACAAAAAAAAAAAAAAAAAAAAAAAAAAAAAAAAACTTACCAAGAGAGGAGAGGAGAACTCTTCGTCTCTGAGCGTCTGTCAAATAGGAATGAAACACAGAGGAACAGAATCGGTGTAAGAAGAGAGACAGAGTGTCCTTTTGCGTCTGCAAGAATCAATTTGAGGATTGCTTCTGCTGCCAACATGATACGGCGCCGTCTCACCGTCTTATTATTGTTATTACTCTCCAGTTGTATTATTTAATTATTAATTACTTTATTTCAATATAATAGTTTCTTTGTCACTTACACTATTTTATACCCATTAAATGTTTTAAATTAATTCACTTTAATATCCCATTTATTAGCATC